ATGGTGAGTGGAACAGATAAGCCTCAATTGAGATCAGGAAAAAAAATACACTATTTACTGCTTAAAAACATTGATTTGACAATTAGTACCTGTCTGCCTAGAGCAGTGGTTCTCAACCTTTTTAATGCCGCGACCCCCAACCGGTCGTAAGTCGAGGACTAAACCGGTCGTAAGTCGAGGACTAAACCGGTCGTAAGTCGAGGACTACCCAACCGGTCATAATTCGAGGACTTTCCCTGCCCGGGAGCGCCACGCATGCGTGGTTCCGCCCCCTGCGCCGGCCGAGGCGTAGCTGGCAAGCGGCAGAGACGGAGCAGGCCGACCACCAGCTGGCCCAGCCCAAGGGAGGTAAGGCACCTGCCGGAAAAGGGGGAAAAAATGGCGGACAGCCTTGCTTGGCGACCCCCGTGAAATGGTCGATCGACCCCAAATGGGGTCGCGACCCATAGGTTGAGAACCGCTGGCCTAGAGAACCTCTCTGATTGTTTCTGGACCACCTTAGTGGTTTCTTAACTGTGTAAGTAAAACCAACTTATGGCCCTAGTTAAGAATAAGCATGATCTGTATGGGAAAATGGTGCTGAGGGGAGGATTTTGTGTAGCAGCTAATTCTCAGCACTGTCATCAGCATTATAATTCATATTCCCAGTTTTCCTTAGTAAAAAAATATGACTGTATGCACCGATTTACAAAGAAGCCTTTTAATCTTTACATTCCTACCTCTTAATAAAAGTAGTTTAAATTAAAAAAGAACTGCAATCTTTTACTAGTTTCATAAAGTTAAAATATATAAAAATAATTATGCAATTGTAGCGGTATGTGCAAGGCTGGAAAGTGAATCAATAAACAGATAAACCGAATTCTTTGGTCCCTTTTCCCACAGGAGCTGATTTGTATTAGAAACTGGTTTCTAAATCCTCTCCACCGTATGTCCAAGGAGGAGTATCTTCTGTGCGCAGCAGCAGCTGTATATTTGTGTTCTTCAGAATACTCTTTGCAGCTGCAGGAATTCTCTCAGGATGGGAATTTAAAATTCTCAAGTCAGGAACTATTTAGCGTTCTTTTGCTATCATCTACTTGGTACATCCTGATAACTAATACAATCAGAATTGTTGAGAGCTATTGCTGTCACTCTTTTTATACTTCTGCTCGTTATTCTTTGGTTACCCAGTGCTGATAACTCATTTTTTCCTGAATATCCTGAAACCTTTGCTCCGTCTTTATAAAGATTTGAAAGCCACTTGATTTTAATGACTGGATATCCCAGAGTAAAGGCAATAAATGCTTGTCATAGTGCATAGCGATTAGCTTGATGATTAATCATTCTCTCTGGGTAGAAAATGTACTGTACTGTCAGATGTTGGCTTGATGGTTTCCCCTCATGCTAATTATTAGCTTTTCTTTGGCTTTTTATTCCATTTGATTGCCCAGAGAATCTGATACCAAGAGACTTAACATTTTTTGTAAAAGCGTACAAAGAAATTTAAATCATTTAGATAAACTAACGTTTTAAAAATAAATCAAGGACCAACTGTAATATGGATTACATTCTAGTAAAAATTGTAAAGTGTCAATTTTTACCAGACTAAATTGATCCTTCATCTATTATATGTTGCAAACAGGCAATGCCAGTATATTTTAATCATTGGCTAGTTTTCTGAAGAACCATCAGCATCCTGAGCATTTCTTCTTAAAGTTCAAGCTTGAACTAGATGTTTCTTTGTGTGATCATAATTCATCAGTCTGCCACAGCAAACACATTTAGCAAATTTTGTGAAGAGTTGGGGGGGGGGGGGAGGTCAATCCTAGAAAGCTCTTAAGCCAATCAACCAGAAATTATTTCCCTACCCAATCTAGTCATCAGATCACTATTGTAAAGGATGGGGATTACTGTTCATATAGACCACAGGTAGAAACCTATAGAGCCCAGATGCCCCAGTCAACATGGCCAGCATGACGAGTTGTCCATCATCAACTTTGGAGAACTACAAGTTTTCCACTTTAAAGCAATTATAGCTCACTTTATGGCCTGAATGTTTATTCCTTTATGTTTGAAAGTGTTAATGGTAAATAGAAACCAGGACATCAAAGAACGTGGGTGGCTGGACACCATCAAAGCTGACACCAGCTAGAGCACAGAAAAATTCAAAGGAGTAGTGCAAAATAGGAAGATGTAGAGGGACCTGGCCCATAGAATCGCCAAGAGTTGGGTACTGAATGGTTATCATCATCATCAATATCATCATTATGGCCTAAAAGACTTTAATAGCAACTGATAGATTAGAACAGGGGTCACGTGGACCGGTACCAGGCCATAGCATGCCACCAACCGGTCTGCACAAACAAGCAAAGCCCCATCCATATGGATGCAGGCAGCACACAAAGCCACGCACTCTGCGGTCCATGGAAAAACCTTTCTCCACGGAACCGGTCCCTCGTAGCCCACAGATTGGGAACCTCTGGACTAGAAGATAACAAATTCTTTTTTTGGGGGGGGGGGAATTATCAAAACTGATTAAAGCAATCAAAATAATTCCGTATGGTCCAGTAGAATTTATTTTATAACAATGGAGACATCACTATACAGACAAACACACATGCAGTACAGGATTTAATGTCAATTTGTTTTCCTTTAGTTGCCACTACAATGAAATAATATTTAAAGAAAAGCTTTCAGTACTGACTAGACTGGAAAAATTATCTTTGAGCTTGTAAATTTAAAGACTGTCCATCTTACAAGTATATTGACTACTGAATGGAAAAAGGTAAAATCCCCCACAGAATTAGTTGGACTCCTGCCAACTATATAGACGCATCACTGTTGTCTTCCTGGAAACAGTATAGAACTATTTTCAAGATTGCCCTTATTCATAATCCCAGGACTTCCTGATCGGCTCCCATCTAAGTATAACCAGAAGCAAGTCTATATTACTTTTGAATGGTAAGATTATTTCTGAGCAGCAGTTTGCAGACTTGCAACATAGTGTTTCCTGTTTAACATTACATAATCTTGGATGCCTTTTTCAATTTTCTATTCTTTTATACCAGATTTAAGTTTCTTCCTAAACAATCATTACTCTATCACCATAATATATACTCAGTCCAAGGAATACACTTTTTAACCATAGGGAGTTTGGGGTACTTCTTCAAAGTTTGTGGTTCCCATCCGGCAACTACTATCTTCATGTGAATACATTAACATCATTCTCTCAGGAGAATGATTTGGTTAATATTAGAAACAAGGAAATTTTATTTAATGGTATTGAGCATAGTAGGTACTAAATAGGTGGGTCAGAAACCAAACTATACTGTAACACTGAATAGTTAAGTCATTTGACAACAATATCTTCCTTCTGTCTTTAATATACAGTACCTCTGTCTGACATTCAGAATATGAACCTATAACAAGAAGTAATTGCCACAAGAATGCTTTACTACACATGCAGTATGGTTAAGAACTTGGTTAAATTATAAGCTTAGAACTTTGCCCTTTAAGCCTACAGGTCAAAGTTCTCAGTAAGTGAAAGACTGGGCAGAAGTACAAATTAATGCCTCCTTTTAAGGCAAGCACCTGATTCTTTGGCTGCAGCTTTCATTGTGCTTCATATTATTTTCTTCACAGTACAATTGCTTTAAAAGTACAACATCTTTATTGATATAAATATAAAAAGAGAAGATAATGCAACCAGATAGAGAGGGAGGAACTGCCTTATTCCAAGGACTGACTTACTCACAAAAAGCAGAAGAGAGGAAGGGATGGATGTGTTTTCCCACTATATTTTTATCAGACATCTCCCATCCTTCGCAGAGGAAGGAAAAACTACTGGCCAACATTTCTATTAGTCTTGAATATGGAGGATGCATAGCCAGATCATATTTTAATGCCCATTATATGAACTTTTTACATTAGCTTGGAAGATGAGACTTCCCTAATAGGATGATGATGATGATATCCATTCAATTGTGTCAAGACTCTTGGCGATGATTCTATGGGCCAGGTCTCTCCATATCTTCCAATCTTAACCCTAACGAAATAGATTCAAATAACACCTGGATGCTGCCAACTAAACTTGGACTCAATCATTATGTTTAGGATTTGCATTTGTAAGTTTTTAAAAAAATACAGCATGAAGTTCAGTACAGCAAATAGTCCATACCATGTTTTAAAAAGTAAACATTTTGTTAGATTCAGTATTATTTATTGAAAATATTTTGCTAATTTTGTACATCCTAAAAACAGATTGTTTTATCTATCTGAAACAGGGTACACAAGTAAAAGTAAGCCACTTCCGTGATATTCATGAGGAACTCTTCTAAGCCATGTTTCTTTACAGATGGGCCTCCGTGACGTATCTTTCAAAGGTACCCTTTTTGTCTCTGTACTCTGGTTTCTATAATGGAAGGTAGGACCTTATTGTCAAAAGATTTTATTATTTTTAGTTTCATTTTAAAACTGCACACATATTAGAAATAACATTTCATGAGTGATCAATTTTGTTAATATCTGCGTCAAGGAATGACAGAACTCAAGAGTATGTATTTAAATGTATTCAAAGTGCTCTGTCTACATCATTGCTTGTATATAACTATTCAAATGTGGCTAAACCATATTGTGTCTTACAACTATCTTTTCTGTTCATGAAAGAAATAATTTAAATAAAGAAATTACTCACTTTAGCAACCATACTTATACCCATTAACAGGCAATATGACACTAATGTGAAATCAATTCAGCATATCACAGATTTATAAAATATTCATTTTTAATACAGTAACTAATTCTTACTATCTTTTTCTAACTTTTTGAGTAATAATTTGGGCTATCTCTCCTTTCATTGAGATTATGCTTCAAGTTTTCCTAATATTACTTAATTTAAAAAATCAGTTTATAGAAATGCCAAGAAATATATAAAATTCTGTTGATATATGACAATTTGAAATGTATGCTTAATACTTTTTTGTTACAAAAAATAATATCCAGTCCTTTTAGTCTTCATCTCCAGCTCAATTAAACACTAGGTCACAATTTTGTCTTTCACATCCAGGGTTCCCATCCTTCCCAAGTTCTGCCAAGGATATTTGGGTCGGTGGCTTGATCAATAAGGCATTTCACTTGTATTTCTTCTGTAAGTCCATCCTGTGATTCTCTGGCCCGGATGTTGAACTGTTTGCTCCCTTGTGCTACAGACAGATATTCCCTGAAGGTCTCAGATTTCTCATGGCCCAGGCGTAATTCATCACTTAAAAATAAAAAAAAAGCTTGTATATAGTAGTTACTTGATGAACCATCTTTCCCCAATTACTTCTTCCTGTCCTACCAGATCTCTACTAGACCTGGCATGCAGCTGGCTGTGTCATTTTGCGCAGGGGTCCCCAACCTGTGGGCCGTGAACAACTACCGGGCCGTGAGCTGTTGGCCACTGGGCCACATGAGTGGCTGGCCAGTGCATGTGTGCATGCACAAACCCCCACTCGCACTAGTGTTGCAGCGTTGTGTGGATGCTAGCATAGCCACAAGACAAACGCCACTCGCACTAGCATCGCGGCATCATTCAGGCTATGTTGAGTCATGAGCATTGTGTAGGCGCTAGCATCACAAGCACACACCCCCACTCGTGCTAGCATCACAGCGTCATGTCATGTGGGTGCTAGTGATGTTGCAAGCGTGCAGGCACTAGCGTCACTGAGCACACACTCCCCCTATTCACACTAGCATCGCAGAATCACATAGGCACTCGTGTCTCGAGTGTCACACAGGTGCTTGTGGCCCCGTTTGCATCGCGCACGCAACTGCTGCCCCATTTCTGCATGCATTTGTGGCCCCGTTAACACGTGCCCACGAGTAAAGGCACCTTCACCCCTCCAGGCCAGCAACCCAGAAAGATTGGAGACCCCTGATTTAGGGACCTACATTTGGTAGGCCTACTTGGCTGTGGTGCCTGTGTTGCAGAATATCCTCCCTCCCCGAGATTGGGTTGCAACCATCACTCCTGACTTTCTGAAGATCCTTCAAGATCTGGTTGTATGCCATTGGTCCTCAGGACCTTTGGTAACAGGCAATCTACTAAGATGGCTCTGTCATTATTAACATCCCTTGGCCCATTATTTGTTTTAGCTGCATGTTTAATGTTTTAATACTAATAACTGTTATTTGCAAATTATAATTTTTTAACTTTGTTTTACACCACCCAGAGGCACTAGTTTTGGAGCTGGGTGGCACAGTACATATATTTTATTATATACAACAACATGGGTATCAGTCTTGTATTTCACTAACACTGTGTTTTCCAAAACAGGCACCAGGTGTTATTTTCAGGGGATGTCTTATACTCACCTCCGGCACAGACAGCCCCGCCCAGCCGGTTCATTTCTGCGGCCAAAGGAGCAGCTTCATTCTGCAGCTGCATTCCAGCCTGCATTTCGCAGTCAGACCTTTCTAGAAGGCCACTGCAGCCGAGAACCAAGTTATGGATTCAATCCATAGTTCAGTTCTTGGCTGCAGAAGTCTTGCAAAACCAAGCTATGGATTCAATCCATAGCTCGGTTCTCGGCTGCAATGGCCTTCCAGAAAGGCCTGTGACTAAGAAATGCAGGCCTGGCTGCAGAAGTGGGTTGGCGAGGAGATGCCTGGCTGCAAGGTAAGTGGGTGTGGGGCGGGTGGGACAGCTCCACACCCCTACCCCAGCTTGATTTTTAGGTGTGCCTCGCCCCAAAACTAAGGCTTATTTTTGGGATAAGGTTTATATTAGGCCCACCCCAAAAAAATCAAGTTAGGGCTTATTTTCAGGGAAACGGTATCTGAAGAGCCTAAGGAACATAAATAGCTATGAGGCAAAGTATGTGTTCAAAGCTCACGTGTTGCCTCGCATATTTAAAATACTTAAAGTATGTTCAATATTTGATTTATGAGAGCTCTTACACACAAAATCACCCTCACAATGCAGTCTTCAAGAAATGAGCATGAATGAGTGCTTCTTATAGTTGTATAAAACAGATAAAGGCTGAAATATTTTCATCCCCAAATGTTCTTTCCTGGCGTTATAAAAACATATTGTCCTGCTCCATTGTCAGAATAGGTGAATCTGGCTATAATGGCTCATTTGATATCTGGACATTTTTGATACAGAAAATTCTCCAAATATTTTGCACACTTTAAATAAATTCATCTAGAAGTAGAACATGATATTAAAATTCCTATTTTTCAGGAAATAATTCTTGCATTTGCATTTTTAATTCAGATCTGCACATTTAAAATGTCAAATTCATACCAGGTAATCACAGCTGGATTAGCCCCTGCCAACTTTCTTCTTGCAAATTTTACTTTTTGTAGAGGATACCAATTCACTTCATCTGTATTTATTTCCTTAGTCCATGTACCTCCTTTTCTCAACTGTTTCAGTTCAAAATTCTAAGGAGAAAAAAATGTCAATCCATGAAACCAATATTGTATAATACAGTGCATATTATTAATGGCAGTTATCAATCGAAGTTTAAATTCCTACTTCATGTGTGTATGTGTATATATATTAAATCTTAGAGTATACATATATCTTCAAAGTTATTTTATAAAAAAAAATAGTATTTACCTTAAATTTCTGAATGGCAAATATACTTTGCCATATTTATTTACTGAAGGAAAAGTGGGGTTAAAATGTAGGAAGAAACTATTTTAAAATTCAGTGTTTGTTTGTTGAATAGCAATTCATTTAACTTTTCCCCCTATTTTCAGGTATGCCAAAATTAAGCCATTAAGTCAATAGCTTACTTTCCAATCCAAAGAAGGTTCCTTTACAAATATATCCATAGTATTAATAAGAACATCTTGATTTATACGGTAGGCTCTTAAAGAATGTACCATCACGCTGTATATAAGACCAGATTCTTTCATTGGCAGCATCAAATTAACAAATTGTCGAGTCAAGCGGAAAGGCATCAATTCTGGAACTTGCAGAAACTACAAAGAATAAAAATTATGAAAAAAATTCATGTAGTAAACAGGCAAAACTTAACTTTTTTAGCAGAAGTAAAAACATGTTACGGAAACATGGCTTCTAGTTATAAATGCATTAGTACATTGTTATGTCTATACTGTTTCTGACATTTAAGACACTCAAAGAAGCTATTAAGCTACTAAGGGCGCAAAATAAAGGGACTGGCAAGTACTTTCCCTTTAAATGTCATATCCATTCTGCCTAGCAGGAAATGTCTGTTATTGTAGAAGCATGTGATGAAAGCAAGCGCTGACCTAGAAGGCTATTACATTTTGGTCCTCTTAGCTACTGGAATTGTGACAGCAGAAAGGGGGGAAAAATGATGCTCTGAATGGATTTTCTTGACATGGCAAAGAGCAAGAGCTCAAGGGACCTCATACCTTCTGTGAACAGAAAAAAAAGCCTCTAAAGTCCCATGGTTCCTCAAAAACATCCCCTGAGGCTGTCAGATATTTTCTACCCTGGTTTCATTCAATAGCGCTAAATGTGTTTGCTGTAAACATTAGAATAAGGACAAGAGGAGAATACCTGTGTTGCTGAACCAAATGCGTGTCCAAAGTCTATTCCCACCAAGCCTCCAGTCTCCATACTGATCATAAAATTTGATAAGTGTCGATCACCAATGCCAAGAATCCAGTGGCTGATGCACAGCAGTGCATGGGTGCTGGCAAAATGGGATCGCAGAGACAGCAAGGCTTCTGGAGTTGCACTCATTTTAACAAAGGCTTTCCTTTAGAAAATAAATAGATTTTTTATTAGCTGAATATAAACTACCTGAACTACCTTCAGATAATTCCTGGAAATCACATTAGAAACTCAGAAATATGGGTTTTCTCCTTATCTTTTCAGTCATGGGATAAAAAGTGAAATAAAACAACAACAAAAATTAAGAGTGATTTGTGGAGCAGTAAATATTGCTACTCTATTCACTACTCTTATTTCAAGGCCAAGAGCTTTGAAAGAACACCCTTACCTTAGCAAATCTTCAGGAACACGGCTTTCTCGACGCTGGAAGGACATAACTACTTCTGTTCGGCTAGCTCTTCTGAAAATTAGAGCAAATAGTGAGAATTATAGTTAGGCAAATATGTGAATTGCAATTAAGAATTATGTAGCAGTGTTTATTTTTAATCTGTGCTTATCCTGAATCCTTATTTTTTGCTCTGTAAGTCTATAAACTAAAAACTCTACTAGGATGTGAAGCACCAACAACAGTGAAAGTGTAGTACAGAGAATTTTATTCTAAAATAATTCTTTTTTGGCATTTTAATACCAATGTTTTACAATGTATAAATACTTGTACAAAAACACCAAAATATTTGCATCAAAGATAGGCACAAATAAATATAAATTGTATTGTGTTGTATACTTCTGTGGCGATTATTTAGAAGGATACAATTTATGCAATCATATACTGAATGTAATTAAACTAAACTGTTCTTAATTCCAAAGATATTCTTCTTACCTGCTTGCAGATTGAACTAAAACACAATCATAGACTTGCAACCATTCCTTAATTAACATTCTCCTGTGTCTCTATAATATCTTTTAGTTGTTGCCTTTTGTTTTTACTGTGCTTTAGGTATGCTGACAGAATTTGGTCCTGCCTCATAAATGTACTTTAAGCCTATAACAATTGCTATACAGCTCACCTTTGTATTTGGGCCTTCGCAGTACAAAAATACATTTATTTATAAAATGATCACAAAAACTTAACACATGGAACAAATTTGAGTAAATTTTACATAACAAAAGAGCACAGATTATTATAGAATCCCTATTATAGTAATTATAATAAATTTTACATATGATCACTCTATCTGATTTGTCTTTCCTGGAAACCTTCTGTCTATCACAAAGAAAAAGACAAGACATATCCAAGAATGGCTTCTCACTCTACCACAATGGTTTCAACACAGTGTAACTTAAAATATAGTATAGTACTAGCTGTACCCAGCCACGCGTTGCTGTGGCTCAGTCTGGTAAAAGCGTGTGTTGCTTTTACATCCAACAGATGGCAGTTTTTCAAAAAAAGCATGTTTTTACCTGTCACAGGTGTGACATCTATATAATATAGGTATATAAAAACACGCGCGTATTCGAATGCAACGTTGTGTCAAAATTTCAAAGCAATCGGTGAACTTTCGGAGATTTAAGATTTTGAACAAACGAACATTTACATTTTTATTTATATAGATATAGATTACATCTGTTTCCAAGTCTTCTAAGCCAGTTCAAGCATAAGGTGAACTCCGCCTTCCATCCTTCCGAGATTGGTAAAATAAGGATCCAGATTGTTGGGGCAATATGCTTAGAGGGGGCTGTAAAGCACTATATAAGTCAAAGTGCTATTGATATTGCTATAACTATGTGGAATGCAGAGAAATAGAGGCAGGGGGAAGGAGGGGAGCAGGCATGGATGATCAGTCACTGCAGAACTGCTGTATCTTCAGAAGCAGCTCTAAATGCAGTATTTACTTTTACTGGAAGAGCAGATGGGAATATCCTGCTGACAATAATTTATGTATGTGGTGGAGGAAGGGGAACCAAAGTATCTGATGGAGAATAAGCATTTCCAAGACTTACTTGAACATAGTCAGGTAACGTTCAATTCCATCTCTTTCCCCCATCTTGCACAGCCAATCATTATAGTCAGCACAAGGACCTTTGGGGCTTTAGAGAGGGAAGAATACAAACTTAATCTACATGCAAACATTTATACATTATTTGAACTATTAAAAATGCTTACTTTCTGGTTTGATTTTAGCATTGATAAATTAATGTACCAAATGTTGGGGTCCTTGGTGTTCTCTAAGCGTGTTTGTTTTCTTGCAAACTTTTCATTACCAAACTAGGTATCATTATCAGTGCATTCGTTATCTAATTTTGAAATGAAATGTCTGAAAAAAATCAACCATGATCAGAGAGTACCAAGGATCCTACAGTTCAACCCCAAGCTACAACTATTGTCTTTTATTGGTAATATATTAAACGTTTTACCTATATTCTAGAATAATATAAAGACTAACTTTATTTGCAGATGACTGTTACATCTGTTAATAAAACATAACCAAAAAGAATGTGAACCGTTCATTGTTATCGGTGCTATATTCAATCAAGTTAGTTCAAACTGTTACAAGAACCCCCACAACTGTTTAATGGAAAAAAATAGTCTGTTACATAAAATCTGTTCACAGAAAAATGCCAGGCACCTGGTATAAACCAAAAGACAGAAGGTTAGCGGGGCTGATAAATATTCAACTGAATGTATACATTCAAACTCAAATGAAGCTGTCAAACAAATTATGTCACAAAATATCACACAAATTTTGATAAGGGCCAATAAGTAAAGACAAGGATTGAAATGTTGGCACAAAGAATTTTCTTTGATTTGGCCTTCATATAAGCCTAAAATTGTACATGATCTGTCTATGATTAAGAGCTGCTTTCATCATTAGTTAGCATTCATGAGGGGGGAAAAATACTTCCATAATGAAAAGTGGCTTAGATTCTGTTGAGTGATGCACAGCGAGGGCTCCTCATACTCCTAATCTTCACAAGAAATGCCTCCTGCTGCTATTGATCTGATTTCCACACTAAGCAAGCATTTACACAGATCTGAGTTCCAATTTAATTAAAGTTCACATCCTAATTATTTAAAGTGAAACTTAAAAATCTCTTCCTTGTTAAAAAAAACAGCCTGTTGATAAGAATATGGTGATAAAAAAGCCTCAGGTAATAAAAATCTTCTTGCTTAAGTAATAAAATATATAGGTGAACTCATGCTGATTAAATAAACAACTTCCAATCATTATCTTGGTCAGGAAATACTTCAAATAACCTCAAAAGATTATTGTCAGCTGATCCAATGGATATTAGTACAATAAGTAATGTTAACTGGAAATACGTTAACAATAGAAGCAAAGAAAGTTTTAACAGTTATGCTCCACTTACCTGTTATAACAATTTTTTTCCTGTTCAGACATGTTTTTCAAAAGGAACTCTTTTAATGTATAGGTATTCTCTAGCCATTCAATTAGTCCCAATCTGTAAGAAAATAAATTCGAACTTATTTTTGTTAGGATATGGCTGTAGGAGGATGATTGGTAGAACCAGAGGGAAGAATTAAAAGACGCATCAGTTTAAAATCATTACAAGTCAAATAAGTCCAACTCTCCCCCCCACCCCAAAATGCCATTTATCTAGTTCTAACCAGGTGCTAACCATTAATCTGAGAAGATTCCTGTGCATAGGCTTTAACAATAAATCAGTACTCTGGAACTTATGTGTATGGATCGGATTTTTCACACCTGACAATAGCAAAATAAACAAAATGTATTTCTTACATAGGAAAAAATATCTAGAGACACTAGACTAGTGAAGGCAAATCTTTTAGAAACCGAATTCCCAAACTGCAACCCAAAACCCATTTATGTATCGTTGGGTACCGGGCGGACGTGGCCCATTGGTTGGGCATGGCTGGGATGGTAACGGCAGACTGGGTGGGACTAAAAAGCTCAATCAATCAATTCCAACTTTGAGATATCTTTTTTTTCCTGCGAGAAGTTAAAATTGATTGAATATTTATTTATTTATTTTTTTTTTTGGGACACAGCGGCAGAGGCCTAAAGCGAAAAGGTTTTATAAAACCCACCTGAAGGCCTAGGACTGTGGAGATGGCGCGCATGCCCACAGAGAGGGCTTTGTGTGCTACCAGTCGCACGGGTGCCATAGCTTCGTCACCACGGGATGAGAAGATCTCCAAAGAGCCATAGGTTCGTGCTTGGGTATGATTAGGAGGGCCCTGACTTTTCTAGCCTGCCCTATCTATGTTTCCTGGTAAAATACATGGGAAAATCCCATTGGAGGAAAATTCCATTTAGGGTTAGGGTTAGGTCACCATGAACTCATAGAGCAAAATGGACATCGCCAACTAATTCGGAGTGCTTGGGTATGGTTAGGAAGGGGGTGACTTTTCTATCCTGCCCTATCTATGTTTCTTGGTAAAATACATGGTAAAATCCCATTGGAGCAAAATTCCACTTAGGGTTAGGTCACCCTGAACTCATAGAGCAAAATGGACATCGCCAACAAATTCAGAATACTTGGATATGGTTAGGAGGGCACTTACTTTTCTAGGCTGCCCTATCTATGTTTCCTGGTAAAATACATGGGAAAATCCCATTGGAGGAAAATTCCACTTTGGGTTAGGGTTAGGTCACCATAAATTCAGAGAGCAAAATGGACATCACCAAGAAATTCAGAGTGCTTGGGTATGGTTAGGAAGTGGCTGACTTTTCTAGCCTGTCCTATCTATGTTTTCTGGTAAAATACATGGGAAAACCCCATTGGAGGAAAATTCCACTTAGGGTTAGGTCACCATAGAGCAAAATGGACATCGCCAACTAATTCGGAGTGCTTGGTTATGGTTATGAAGGGGCTGACTTTTCTAGCCTTCCCTATCTATGTTTCCTGGTAAAATACATGGGAAAATCCCATTGGAGCAAAATTCCACTTAGGGTTAGGGTTAGGTCACCATGTACTCATAGAGCAAAATGGACATCGGCAACAAATTCGGAATGCTTGGTTATGGTTATGAAGGGGCTGACTTTTCTAGCCTGCCCTATCTATGTTTTCTGGTAAAATACATGGGAAAACCCCATTGGAGCAAAATTCCACTTAGGGTTAGGTCACAATGAACTCATACAGCAAAATGGACATCCCTAAGAAATTCGGAGTGTTTGGGTATGGTTTGGAGGGCACTTACTTTTCTATCCTGCCCTATTTATTTTTCCTAGTAAAATACATGGGAAATCCCTTTGGAGGAAAATTCCATTTAGGGTTATGATTAGGTCACCATGTACTCATAGAGCAAAATGGACATCGCCAACTAATTCGGAGTGCTTGGGTATGGTTAGGGGGGCACTTACTTTTCTAGCCTGCCCTATCTATGTTTCCTGGTAAAATACATGGGAAAATCCCATTGGAGGAAAATTCCACACAGCATTAAGGTTAGGTCACTATGAACTCATAGAGCAAAATGGACATCACCAACAAATCCGGAGTGCTTGCGTATGGTTAGGAGGGCACTTACTTTTCTAACCTGCTCTATCTATGTTTCCTGGTAAAATACATGGGAAAATCCCATTCAAGAAAAAATCCTCTTAGGTCTAGACAAATCATCTACGTTAAAATATTTTAAACACACAAGAGAGAGCACTATGCCTGTTTGAAAAACACCTTTAGAGGAGGAGCTTAAGAGTGTGGAGAGAGGCACAAGTAATTCAGAGGTGGTGTTTTGGAATATGCAGGAATTATTTCCAACAACGTCCTGTGATGAAAACAGAAGTCTCTTTCCTACGTAAGGTTTTAGCATGTCTCTACCTGGTCGTCATTGGTATAACTTGGTAGGTTTTTATCTGCATGTTTCTTTGGCTGCAGGGAGCATCTCGTGAAAGGATGTTATTCATAACTTCAAAGAGTTGCTCAATGCGTTGGTCTTGCCTGAGGTCTTCTCCTCCTTTCACAAGAAAGGGATACTCCCGTTCATCATTGCCTCTGATAACTATACGTTTTGGTTTCCGGATGGATTGCATTACTTTTATCTTTGATAGAATGTAGAAAAAGAAAAAATACAGATAAGAAAATACTGTATTATACAAATTGATCCCTAAAGAGACTATTTATTTCTATGCAGCACAGAAATGAAATACTCTCCTGAGTTTTTCAAGCAGTATTGTTTCCAAAAGGTATCTATTCTTTATTTTTAGTTTATGTTTTTGCACGCAGCATGGGTCTAGTGACCTGCCATCTGTAGTAATAACAAGATTCATAATAAATTAACAAAATTGGAAAGTATGGGCACAAGGGGATAAATCACATCAAAGATGTATTAGAGATGCTATAGAATTACTTATTACTTATGAACAAAAGTAAAAATATCACCTGAAAAATCTTCCCGTTTTAATATGCATACAACTCAATTTTAGGAAAAGTCAATGATATCCTACAATTCTTAATGACCTTGATATTGCTCTTAAATTTGGTTATACATACAGTCAACAATGAAAAAGCCATGTTGAAAGTAAATAGATTTAGTTTGCTGCAGGTCACTAATTTTCAAAAGGCACAGCCCTCAAAATATATTAATATATAGATTTCCAATCAGAATCTCACTGGATATTGGCAGGTCTCACGGACCTTTCATTTGAACTTATGGCCACTTGCATTTTTGAAAGTGGTAATAAAAACTATGTTCCTTGTAGTTATTATTTTCACAAAATGCATGTCACAGTTTGAGATTCCTTCCATTACATTCTAACTGATTTCTAAGTGAAAAATCAATATGTAGAATTGATCTGTCATTTATATGTGAACAGAATTCACCTTTCTTCTGGTGCATTCTGAAACACTGGTTTAGAATTTAAGAGATCAGGAAAAATGAAGCAATTGTACAGAATTCTGCTCAACTATATATATTCTGATAGAGGGCTTCCTTAATAGGTTTTTCCACAAATAATTATCTGTGACTGAGAAGGATATTTTACAAGTACAGGAGAGGCAACTGGTTTTTAGAAGCCTGGATTCCTTTGAAGATTAGAATGAATTTAGAAGGGGCTGTTTTCAGTTTATTTTTACCATTTTAGTAAACATCTAAATAACCTTTTCCTTCTTTGTAAATTATTAGCCTTGCTTCATTCTCACTTCCATTTTATTCCATTTTTCTTTCCTTCACTTCCCAGTGCAGTTACCCCCCTTCCTTTCCTCATCTCCTTTCTTGTTTCATTCTCCCTGTTTCATTCTTGCTGTTTCTGCTGGAAGGAGGGAGAAGAATGAGTGTAACGATGTGTTTCCATCTATGATAGTCAATGGGTTATATGCAGTGGGGAAATCAATTTTATCTTTCAACCAATTAATTTTAATTAGTAGCTGTTATTAGCTTTTCCTGTTTTGGCGAATGAGTTCTGGATATACAGATCCTACAGATATATCAGAATCCTTATTGTACTGAGTGGATTAATATGGGGGAAATGTTCAATTATTATTTAAAATTAAAATAAATTTCTACTACAATGTTAACCACATGCTCTGTAGGTTAATAGTTTAACATACCCGCTCATCAAATCCAGAAATTTTTGCATGATATTCCGGCAATGGCTTTCCTTTACCATCATACTGACCTGAATAAGTAAAAGTTTTTTAAAAAAAATATATGGCTTTTTAGAATGCTTACTTGATTAATCAAATAACAAATAACTTCACCAAAATGTATTATGTGTTTGATACATTTTTATCTTGTACGCAATGCAGTATTACATTGGTAGAAAATCTCAATGACTAACAGGTTATTTTTTATAGCAGAAAGATAGCCGTAAGAGAAGGATGCCTGTTAAGAGAGCTTCAATATGATTCTTGCAATTCTAGTTTTGACATCAAGATTGTCAGCAAAAGCTTTTACTAAAAGTCCAAGGGCCAGGCACACTGATAAGCACACTATGCAGGTACAATTTTAGCACCTTAGTCCTGAATACCAACCAAAGCATAATGCCATTGTTTCTTTTCTTGTCAGTGTATTAAAAACAGTTCAACATTGTTTTAAATCACATTTCAACCAAGACACATTTTTTTAATATTTAAAGCTTTTGAATTTCAGTAAGTTTGAAGATTTCAGATTATCTCCAAAGTGGTAAAAATCAAAGATAGAAAGTATCTATCAAATAGTCTAGTCCAACTCATTGTGAGTACATAACTAGAGGATATTACTTCAATTAATAATAATCTTTTTCATTAGAGACATTCTTTAATTTATAGGGAGTTTTCTTCCTTTTACACTTCGAAGTATACCTTACCAGGAATTTCCAGTTCAGTCCTCAAGAATTCTGGTTTGAATTCACTCATCCAAGGGGAGCACTCCTTCAGATTCCCAGGTTGTTTTTCACATTTCTTCATCTTTGCAAAGAGAGAGAGTGCAACCTTACTGAAGACGCTGGCGTTCATATCTAGCAGTTTTGAACCTCCTTTTCCAAAATGACTGTCGAGTTCCTTTCCAAATTCCTGAAATAAAATTCATTTACAAGAAGAGCACTAGCTTTAACATAAGCAAAATATTCAGGCTGTTATGAAAAAAAGAGTACAGTGGTATCCTTAACCAAGGACTAGCGTAGAACCTTGACAAACTGCCAACATGGCAAAAGTTGTGATCAGCTAAAAGTATAAGCTGTGGTCAGGGAAGGACTCCATGTATCTTAAGAATTATGGGTTGTGAGTGATGTACTCCAATGGGGTGGGAGCTACTTATGACGCTTCCAAACGTTACCACTAGATTGTTCTCTTGTGATGGCATTTTTCACTGAAGTTAGTAAACATGGATAAATATGTCTTCCTAGAGAAGCTGCAACACTGAACCACAATCAAAGCTGCATGAACGCCTCTTTTTACTAGTGGAATAAAACATAACTACCGGTATGCCAAAAGGAAAGAGACTTGGAAACACCCCCCCCTTAGAAATTTAGGAACTAAACTCCAAGTGCCCAGTCTACCTCCATTATAGGAAAAATGAAATCAAAAATTTTGCAGGAATAATTCACATAAAAGACTCTAAAAGACTCTACCAAAGCAGCACCAGTTGTGTCTGGTTTCTAGCTGACCAGCAAATCAGTTAATATAGGAGATTCCCACAATTCTGCCAAATCATCACCTGTAGAATATATATGGCTGCTGCTGCAGTAATGACTTCTGATGACTATTCTTAAAAACACAGATTATCAAGAAAATTTCTTAGATATTTTCATTTTTACTTTACTGTGCTCAACAATTTCAGAAGAAGCTGAGCCTTGAAAGAGGCTGAAAAAGTTTCTTGAAGTGAACCAAAAGTCTCTTCTGTAATTATGTTCTATAGTTATGCAGCTGGAAGCTTATTCTGTAAAATCAGAATGAATGCTCCCTCTGGAGGAATGTTTCAAAACTTCTATTCTGCTTTCAACTTTTCAATTTGAAGCCTGAGTAATAATAGTAATGGTGGACTAGAGTTAGCACTCTTAAGTAATTTTTGTTTGACTGAGTTTTTAAAAAATGTTTCCAAATTGTGTATAAAGCCAAGATTTGTGAACAGTTGCGCTAAAGAATGTCAATATTACGGGGATATGTAACCACAATATACATATAAGGATTATTAAAAATTCAATAGTTAATTTATAAATTTATAGTATTCAACTGTAAAGCATGATACATACTTTAATAAATTGCTTTCTGAACCACCCAAGACCGGGAGCGTCTAAATTTCCAAGATTTTGGTACATCCCATCATACAATTGCTGAATGTTACTTGTATTTTTCTTAGTTTTTCCCAGCTCATTTCGGACATCTTCAATCCAATCCTATAAATGCAGAATAAAAATTATTTTCTCTCCTAGGAAATGAACTGATAGCAACATCAAAATGTAATAACAATCAGGTCATAATCAGAAATTCATGCTGCTGAAGATAGAAATAATATTTTATTAAATTTATATGCTACCTAACTCCCAGCGATTCTGGCTGGTTTACAAATAGTTACAACATTAAAACCAAGAAAACAATAAGAGACAAAAAAAGGGTAGAAATGGCTGGATGACAAAATTGGATGGGAACAAAGAAAAAAATCCACCTAGTCTAGAGTTACTGGGCGAACAGCAAAAACAGATTAATTCTGGCACATTCAAGTCACTATATAAATAAATGCTAAATATATATATATAATTTCAGATTATGAAGAATTTGACAGATGTACCTTGAATAGCATTGCTGGATTAGAAAGCTGTTCCAAGGAATGGACAAAATCTTGTATCACTCCTCCTTCATACAACTTGCTCTTCACTCTACAAAGAAAAGAAACAGTGCAACAAGGAAAGAGATTGCAGAAACGTTGCCCTTGACTTTTTAAGCAATAACCTAGCACAGTTTTTCAACTAATAAGCAAACTATTTCAGCTACAATCATCTAAAGCATGTTTGGCCAACCTTGTGGCTTGCTTGGATTGCACTGAGTGAAAAGGAATCGTCTTGGACTACATATAAAATATATAATATAGTTAATATATATAAATAACAAACTTCCTTTATTTTTAATACTTTATTTTCTTGTGGGCCAGGATTAGTAGCTGTCTAGGGCCATATATGGCCTTAGGTTGTGGGCTGAACATGCTTGGTTTAAAGAGAGACTATAACTTAAGTTTAAATTTTAATTATTTAATATAATGATTTAATATAAACTGCTATTTAATTAAGATTCCTTACTCTTTAGGTTAATAAATGTATTTTGTTCTTTCTGAACAGATATAATAAAAAAATAAAATTAAAAAACCACAATCATAGTGTCTGAGCCACTTGATAACAAAGATTATGTTAGGGGCAGCAAGATTAATAAGCTGAATGAACTTATAATTTATAGAAACATGCTTCAGCAATTATGTAATTCCTTTTTTTAGGAATAATTAACCTATTGACTTTTTTTTAACCTTTAGCAAGCTAAAAAGAACTTTTCACTTAAATGTAGTGTATGAAATTATGTGCCATTACACTTTTCCCTAACCGTAAGAGATCATTTGCTTTTCTTCTAAAAACATGTTTTCGTTCATTTTTAATATTACCTTTCTACAAACCCCTTATTTTTATGACCTATGGCAGTTTCTGGGAAAGAAAAGCTTTCACTGCTAATCATGAAGGGATACACTATTGCTTGTGGGTAATTAGAAGCAATTTCTTCCACCATATGCTGAACGGCATGTGCTTCATTCTTATCCAGCATTGCCATCAACTGGCTGATCCAACCAATGAACTGCCAGCAGGGAACTGAAGAAATCTGTAAAAACAGTAACCTTGAATGTAAATTACAGCAAATAAAACATGCTTCTATCTTGATTCCCCTGAACCCAATAAAAGTCTTTACCTGCTGGAATATGGAAATGCATGTGGAAAGTTTACCAAATTCAACCAAGGACATGGTAACATGTTTCCAAGAACCAATGAACTTGAGATAAACAAAAATCAACTAGTTTTTGCCCAGAATTTGTAGCAATACCCTTATCAACTGTGGAAACAAACCACAAATCTTGTGTTCAATGCTGACAGTTGCACCCATTGTTCCTTTGAGTGTCTATCCTAAATATTATATTTAAATGTAAATATAGGCTTGACCCAGGAAAAAAAGGACAGGGAAAATCGGGGCACTTTTCCAATTGTCACTGGAACAAATTGATAAAGTTCTCCACATGGAATAAATGTGCAGAAATACCTATGGGTGAAACACCAATTTTAGGATGCTCTCCTGAGGCAGTAGGATGACCTGTAAGATAATGTTGGAGGCCTGCTAAGTGTACTGCAGCAATATTCACAAGCAAGGCATTAATTCCAGTGAGAGGTTAAGTACAGATGTCTGTGAGAATATCTTTTTTTTTCCTAAGTAAACCATCAATGGTCTTAATTTTTCAAAATGTATTTATAAATGTACAGGCTGCCCACACAAATGATTGTGAGTGGCCTACAAAAATAGATAATATATTAGAGATGGGAAGACTTACCTCTTGTGCCATGAGTCCCAAAATCCTTTCTGGATATTTCTCTACAATTTGCAATAGTCTGGGGAATTTTAACCTTGCTTCATTTGAATTTAGTTTCAAAGCTTTTATTACTTTTTCCACTACAATTGCTGGAAACACCTGCAAATCCTCGATGTTTACATCTGACAAACATAAGATCATCAACAGAATATTAAACTTTTAATGTTGATTAAAACTGTGATTTATTTAACATAAAGTGTTTTTATTCTACATAAAATAATACATACAATTTTTTTTCTAAAGTACTTTGTTAAACCTTCTGTAGACTTCATATTTCACCTATCACCACACTCTTTGCAAGAAAACAACATATATTATGAGACTTGATGGATGGCAGGAATGACATTTACAGTAGTAGTAAGAAGAGATTAGGTGAAAGGCACCTATACCAGCATTTTGGATCATATAGTGGCCAATAAGCAGGGCACAATTCTTTTCTACTGTCATTAAACAGAAACTTGAATCCAGGGCACATGTCGCGATTCAGGAGATAATGAACAATTACTAAAACTGATAACACCAGCTCATTCCTTTTTGAAACTGCCCAATTTCTCTTAAAATAATCTTAACTGGTTACCATCACATTCAATGGTGATAAATTCCAGCATTTAACTGTACTAAGTACTCTCACTTATCCAGAAATCATCTTGCATTATTAATTTATTTGAACTCATTACTTTAATTACAATAGATACTTGTTTTAATGTGAACAATATTTTCCATCTCTCATAATTTTATAGTACTTCTATTTTATCTCTTTCTACCTGTTTTGCTTTGAAGTATAATGTCCCAAATATTATGCCAAATATTAAAGTCACCTTTAGTTGATTTCAGTTATGGCTAGCAGGAATGTATCATTAGCATGGTAAGAACTGGTATTTATCAAGACAAAATAAAGGCGAAGATTAGAACGTAAGACTGCTCTTATGTTGCAAACATAATTGAAATCAACTAAGGGTGACTTAATATCAAAAACGATATGTATTGGTCTGAACCTAATTTTCTATGGCATTTGTTGCAGAACTGAAATAATGAACAAGTCATCTTTTAACTTACCTGCTGAATTTTGTTCTTCTTCTTTGCGGAGATGACTGTCACAGAAATTAGCCAGTGTCATATAAGCATCAATAATTCCATTTGTATCTATGTGGTCAAATGACATGGACTGGAGCTCTTCTTCAGCTTTTTTCACAGCCCCACTGAAGCACAGAAAAGCTCTCTTGTTCAGCCCTGCTACCACCTGAAATTATATGATATATCTGTGATCGTGATCACAAAGCACAATAGGAAACAATAAAAAACAGAATATAAAATTATGAAGTTTATGTGTGATTGCTTAAACGGGTTATGAAATAGTTTTGATTCAACACTAAGAGACAAAACCAAGGGACACTAGTAGGAAGAAAAGATTAAACATTCATAGATTAAAAAATGGAAACAATGGAAGCAACATGTTGGAAAGTCTTGATGAAATAGATTAATTTACTCCAAACATGAGTATTTATTTAACCATTCTTCTTCTCTTAAGGATGCCACACCTTTTACATTTCTTAACTTCTGAGTAGAGGGACCTTTTGTCAGTCCCTATGTTGACCTTTCTTTAGAAATGGAAAGGAGAAAGACACAATCATAAGTTCCTGCAAAGGGGGTGGGGGAGGTAGGTGTAATAATTTGCATTAGAAATGCTTGTGATCATATAAGAGAAAAATATTACCTGAAGAATCTAAATGGGATATTATCACTGATCAGAATGTACAAATGCATCTGCAAGAATTTATTGGAATTAAAATTAAACCTTTTTGTTATGGCCACTATTATCTTTATAATATGTTGGTAGTCCAGGAATATATTTAACTACTTCAGATCCAAAATCATTCTCATATCCATGCTCTTTGAGATCTAAAGTAAACTCTGCCCCAAACTGTGTCAACACCCTTCTCCTCTCTCTTATCCTTAACCAAGATCCACTGGAAAATGTTGTTTTACCATCCCAATCAGTCTGCTAAGAAGTGTCAGCTGGCAGAGCTCAGGTGGACAACTTTTTCTATTATGATGCCTGGCCTCATCCATGTTGGCATTCCATAAGGCTTTGAAGACTTGGCTCTGTGCTCTGTGCTCAAACCTGGTGACCTGGGTCTATGATAGAACGAATTTCTTGGTTGTGCCAAGTAACTGATTGTTGCTTTTGTAATTTTGGGGGGCTGCTCTGTTTCTTATAGGTTTTTTTGTGGACATATTTTTATTATTTTTATATTGTTAGGTGGTCAGAGCCATATATTTGAAATGGGCAGCCATATAAATCTACTAAATAAATAAACATATAAATAAATGTAAAAAGAATCACTGAGAATGAAAGGATCTAAAAATAGACAAACTCAACAAAGTCCACCATGCTTCTTTATTAAGAGAGCTTGGTTCTGGCTTCAAATATCACAGAGTCCGTGAGAACTATAATACCTGTTGAATTTGCTGCAGTGTTTTTCTTTTATATCACACATTTTGGACCAGGTTAAAAAAAATATATTTTTTAAAAAAATTCTCAAATTCTACCTTCATTTTTCTAATTAGGCATTCATATTTTAGGAAATGGGCATCTTACTTTTTCAATGTCATCAGGTCTTTCTTCTGAAAGCATCAAGACTTTTCCAGCTTTTTCTTCTTCAATTTGGTCAAGGCAATTTGGATCCTTGGAAAGAGCATTTGCCATTATATGAAAAGTGGTTCCCAAGAGGAGGTTTTGGTTACGGAAACTAACAGGATTATTGCTCATGCTGCTCAGTTTAATCTCATCTGTTGACAAAAAATTATAAAATTAGTATGCTGGTATAATACTGCATACAACCAAGGATCATTCCCTAAGGTCAACATCATGATGTTCTTATTATGTATTGATGGAAAAATCTACACAAAACACTTACCCAGTAGAGGGACTGTTTTGAGTACTGTAAGAATTTGTTCAGGACTACTTTGACTCCGGCTGCGACTATGGCTAAAACAACAATAGCTGTGATTCCATTTCACTCGCCAATCTTCACAGGTCTTAGAATCTCCATGCAAATCCTTCAGAAGCTTTAAGGCTACTGAGAAACTGTTCTACTTTGCAATCCAACAGGAGAAAAGAATGAAAAGATTACCGTAAGAATATGGAAGAAGAGTGAATCTCTTGAGTTCAACATATGAAAATTAACAGTAATAATACGCATTACAGGAATGCCGCAGCATTAATAAAGGGTTTTTCGACTGATCATCTGTTTTATTTAAATATTTAATTCAAAAGATCAAGTAAGCCAATTATTTTGCTCATTTGGTACCTCTGACTGTGTCTATTTCAATAAACTATGCCTAAAACAAATCTTGGCATAATGGTAGGCACATACAGCCATGTTATACTAAAGAATGTTTTAAGGGAATTAATATGACTGAATCTCTCAAAGCTGGCACAATATATTTTGATGAAAGGCTATATTATTCTGTTATATTTTGTTCTCATAAAGAAAAGGTCATAGTTACCTGTTTCCTAGCACACTCTATCATTTTCATTTTCATAGCAAACTTGCAGTTTTTAATCTCTGAATATGTATCTTCGTTCTTATTGTCCATTTCCATGCTGAAAGAAGCATCTCCATCTAATTCCATGCTGTCATCTAGGTGGGTACTAGAAAATTTCTCCTGAATTTTGTCAAGGAAAAAGCATCTGCACAAAAATTAAGAAAAAAATTGAGAACCCATCCAATTATCTAAAAAGGTATTTTTGTTTTGCCTCATAAAATGAGAGCTGGGCATAACAATGATTTTATTAGAGCTCTAATGACCTTCTCCAGCCAGTTTCAGCAGTAAAACTGAGCAGTTGAGAGCAGGAATCAATCCATAAGCTTGTTTCAATCTGAATATATTTTTGAAACACATAATAAAAGATATTTTAAAACTTACAAGGGTAAATATTTTTATTTAGGAAGTCTCACAAATCTGCAAAAGTCCTCAAGTTGTTACCAAATGGCCCCATTTTTCTCCCTAGCCGATAGATCTTAAGTGACCAAAAAAGTGATCTTGGGAGAGACATTTCACTGGGGATATTCTTGGGTGTACAATAAATATATGTAAACACCAATAACTGAATCAGATTGTTTTTTACCTATTTGCAATTATATCATCCCAAATGTTCATAGGATCCATTTTGGTATCAGGATATCTGCTTGTCCAAATATTGAGAAATCTCTTAAGAGAAACCCGAGAAGTTAAATTACCTAAAAAGCAATTATTGAAAAAAACATAAAATATTTAAAACTGCTAGCAAGTGAAGAATCACATTTTAAACTAAATAAATCATCATAGTTAACAGATTTTAAGCTCTGTAGGCATATGCTTGTATTCATGCAGGCTAAACCATAAAAAATAAATTTACAAACCACAGTGGCACATTAAGCTGAAGCCAAATGAAACGCATGATATGAACCAAATACATTTCTAATACGTTTGTTTTAGAAAAATCAGTTTCATTGGTCATTGGAAACTCTTAATACTTCTTATATGTTAAAAATCTGTTTTTATGAAGTATAATATACAGAAATAGTTTCAATCAAATTTTTCTATGCCCTTATGTATTTGAACCAACTAATTCAAACAATAAAATAAGCAGTAATGTCATTAAAACCCCCAAACCCAAAATGCTATCCACCAGTGATATCCAAGACTATGTTAGCTATTATTTTACTAAAACAATATACTTACTACATAACAAGCGCTGCATTTTTTGGTGGGGAGGGGGAGGAACTTACTTGGTTTACTCATAAAGTTGATGAAGTCTTGTGTTTCAGTTAAAGCCTGAACTGACTGCAGTTTGATCATACGGCTATTGTACAATAGTGAATCAATATTGGAGTAGTTCTGTCGGAGAAAAAGCATATCATTTTGAATTTCTGATAATCAGTGGATTTTCTTGGGTTTCCCTGATCTAATCATCTTATCTTAACAATAAAACTTTTATGAATCAATCATTTCAATATTGCTGGATGTGGTAGATCCATATACAGAATCTCTGAATGATATAATACTCCTGATTAGTTAATACAATTAGCATGATATAATATTCATTCATTTTGAAGTACCTGCATGAACACTTGCATGGCATTTTTGACATAATATCTGGCTCTGTCAAAATCATCCTGTAAAATGTAGAGAAGACTCAACTCTTGGCTGTAATACATTTCTATTAGAGCTTTCTTCTCTTCTACTTTCATAGCCTCATCAATAAAGGTCAATAAAGACTGGTCACTGCCACCATGAAGGAGAAGTTTCAACTTGCTGCGAATTATGTAAGGTAAATAAGCTTCCTAAATTGTAAGAAAATTGGAATTATTTTTGTGTGATAAAACACACATTAACATGGTAAGTTAAATTGTAAACTCTACATGTATGTATTTTTAAATATAATCAGGTTCTCCAACATAAATTTAATGTTGAAACTGAGAATTCTCTCCCCCCCTCCCCAATAAAGGTTAAACCACAGCATTGTACATATTTTAATGTATTATGCAAAGCAATTCTTAGAGGAAAGGTCAATGGCTCAATTAAACCCTTTCTCTTAGACTCACAAATATAACATGAGAACAGAGGCATGTGTATATCTATATATCTCTATATATTTTTTTCTGAAAACCTGGAAGAACGGATCACTCCATATTTTATTTAGGTCTGCTGGTTGCCCATTATCAATGTTCACAGTCGAGCAATATTCCAGAGATTTCCATTCTGTCAAATGGTTGTAGCATTCAAGAGATGCGATTTCCCAGAAATCCTTTTCTGCTTCGGTTGGCTCGTCATCAGGCCAGTCTTGTACAGAGAGCGCCTACCAAAGCAAAGAAAGTTGCAGTTTAGCAATTAATCCAGGGACAGGCAATGTGGGTTAGTGATTAACCTAAAGTAGGGTTGAGGAATTCTGGGAGCTAAAGTCCACAACTCTTAAAGTTGTCAAGGTTGCAGACCTCTCACCTAGAGCAAAGCAGGCAGGCCCGGAAACCCTTGAGTGAAGTCTCCAGAAAGTAAAAAATTGTTTCAAAATTGTAATTTTCAATGTGAAAATAAATAAACAAATGACTTGTTTTAATGCAAATGGAATGAAATAAATTTAATTTTAGTTTTAGGGCCTGGACCATCAATTAAAGAACTACAGCCTGCATTCATCACTTAAAGGCTGCTGGAAAAAGTTGTGTCTGTGATTTGGACAAATATATTTATGAAATTCTAAGTTATTTTCCCCACAAAACTGAAATACGTCTATGAAACAAATGCCATCAGTTAGGAACACAGAATGATTCTTACAAGAGGGCTATATAGATCAGTATTTACATTCACTAGCAATGACTTTCCCAGTCTTTAGAGAGAAGCCTTTCCGAGCTCTATCTAAAAATACCAGAGATTTCTGCATTCAAAGCCTATATGCTACTGATCAGTCATAATAAACAAAGTTCATAGTATAAGAATTTTTAAAAAAAATACTCTTAAGGAGCTTCCAAAACTATATTCAACAAAGCTAACTTTCATGAGTTGCAATACTCCAATTTAAAATAATTTAATTTTCATGTGCTGTAATACTACAATTTAAAATACAGATAATACTACACATTATGCTACAATATAAGAGGCATAGTGATTAGAATGCAGTATTGCAGGTTAACTCTGCCCATAGCATGGAATTTGATCCTGACAGGCTCGAGGTTACTCAGCCTTCCATCCTTCTGAGGTCGGTAAAATGAGAACCCAGATTGCTGAGGGCAATATGCTGACTCTGTAAACTATCGGAGAGTGCCGTAAAGCAGGGGTCCCCAACCTATGGGCCGCAGCTCAGGACCGGCAGGCTCTTGGCCTGCGGGCCACGGAAATGGCTGGCCGGTGTGCGCAGGCATGGGCGTGCATTCTCCCCCTCACGCTAGCACCCATGGCCGTTTGCACATGCATGTGGGCGCGAACGGGGATGCTAGTGGGGGTGAGTGTCCGTGGCCCATTTGCGCATGTGCGAACAGGCCACTACCCGCCATGGGGGGTGCATGGCCATTTGCCCATGTGCACACCTCCAGCACATGCACGAACAGGGCCGTTAGTGCCACACCAGTGTGTGTGGCCCTGTGTGCCCATGCGCACACCAATTTTGAAGCTCCTCTCCTTCCCTCTGGTCCGCGAGCCCGGAAAGGTTGGATATTTCTGCTGTAAAGTACTATGGAGCAGTATATAATCCTAAGTCCTATTGCTACTGCTATGTTCTATTTTCATTATTGGCTAGACTAAACATTGTAATTTCCCTTCTCAGAAGTGATCATAAATTATAACATTTTACCAAGTTATTTATTTAGGGGTTTTTTGGTCAGATTTTTATTCTTCAAAACTGGCTCAGACCAATTTAGAAAGACAGGCAAGAAACAAAAATAGAAGGAAAATATTGGGGAAAAGAAGGCAATCAGTTATTTAAGGCCTGAATAAAACAGCAAATCATAAATAGTCATTTAGGTAGTTCAGGCTGATCAACCCTGTTTCTGCAGTTCTCCAAACACAAGGTAACTATCAATAGGAGCTCAGTTTTTTAATCTACCCTAGAAGTAAGATATAGAACTTGGCTGTTCCAATAAAGAGGTAGAAAGTGCTTGGTCTATAGATGGGTTAAAACATGCTCTGCTGTTGGCTTCCTCACCACATACTGACCCAGACTTAGGCACCAAGGAAAAGCCATACCTCTGCATCCTTTTTGGTGCTGCTTTTTCTTTGGCATGAAGTAAATGCCTACGGTAGTTATTTGTTTTAAATATTTCTGCAAGTCTGATATGCCATTAATCTCCAAACAGTTCGTAGCATTAAAATACATTGTTATACAATTTTAAGATTAGAACAGAATATACACTGCCATGAAATATTTAAGGTATGTTAAAATATTTAACCCAGTGGTTATTAATAATGGAGCAGTACCAACATATGTCATGGAACTAAAAATGGTTTTTATTTGGACCTAAATTTAAAAAAAGATGCAGGATGGAAGGTATATATACAAATATTTGTTTCCATGTTTTTACACTAATACAAAAATCTGGCTACGTCTAATACCAAATCAATCATTGGAAGAATTTTTTCAACAGTAGTGTTATATGGTGCTAATCAGGCTCAAAAGCAGCCTAACTGGTACATTTTGCCAGCCGACACTGCAATATTTAAGACATCAAGTTACCAATAACTGGATCACTGTTGTTAATTTATCATGATTAGGACTTATGATAGTGATATTTGAGCAGAAAATGGGAAAGAACATTAATCACTGAGCATATGTGCCTTTACTGAATTCCTGTTGTGGATTATTGTTTTAATAAAAGGAGCTTCATTAGATGCCTCTGGATTTGTTTTCCATTTGAATTATTTTAGTTAAAAATGACTTTTGATTCAACCTCGTCTAAAAGGTTATTCTTCAATTGACCTATCTTTTTAAGCATATTAATAACTATAAAACTGCATTTAATAATCTTTATAAAATTTAAATATATTTATGCACAACTCAGGTTCCTTGTTTTTCCTCAGGCACCAGTTATACTGATGATACTTTGATTTTGAAAGGCTGTGTTTGCATTTTTAAATGACGTTCAATCTGTTTCCCCTTTATGTCCTTGAAAATGCTGTACTTTATAAACATAATTGTACCTTATCATACAGCTTAGCTGCCTCAGCATAATCACTTTTTGCTTCAGCTAACAAAGCATTGTGGGTAATTTCCTTCGTTCCAATTTTTCCACTAAAAATATCCCGGAGAACATCATAATCTCCAACAGATCGATAAAGCCTACATTTGGAGGGGGGGAATTTTAAATTATTAAAATGATTCATTCCTCAAATCAATGAGGTTAAACTAATTTTCCAAAGACACAGATAAATCAAGGACACATTTCATAGCTCAGGATACAAAGAAACTCAACTACGATAGGTTTCTGCATTCATACCGCTTGCATAATACATTCTACCACCATCATCAGCTTGTTACCTTAGCTAGCAAATCCTTTTTGCTTTGAGAAAAGTTTGATGATTGCCAGAATCAAAATCAGGTGATAGCTAATGGGGAAAAGCTATTCTGAACTAAATTGCAAATATATGCCAATCGGTGCCTAACTTCTCTAACCTCTGCCCAATTATATAACTTCATAGTAGCCATGCAATCAAGTCCAAAATCACCCTTACTCCATGACAGAACTGATTAAATTACCACCTGGGCACCCCATGTGCTTTTTCAATTTTCTTCTATTTCATAAACCATTATCATTTCTTAAATGCCTGGATTGTGTGATTCTTTGTCAATCAATTCTAATTCAAGTAGCCAGTAGGCTCATTTGGCTCTTCCCCTCATTCAAGAGATTTAAACTATTTATCTTTTCATTTAATCTCAGTTTTAATCAAGACCAAAAGTTGGAAAAAAAAACACCCCACCCCCATTATTAACTATCCTAAAGCTAGGTACCCTAGGCACGATCTGTTTTAATAATTTGCAAGTAAGCTATGTTAGCCAATTTGAATTAAGTGGGTTGCTTGGTATATCCAAATAAAGCTTCATACTAAGGACCACTGAATCCTTTGAGCCAAATCATAAGTTGGATATAGCCATGGCTGAACTGACTGCCTTTGCCTATTGCATCTGATGCCCATAAATTTCTGACCTTGAGTTCAATGAGTAGAGGGTTAAATAGTAAATTAAACATGGTGTCAAATAAAGCTTTTAGTCACACCTTTGGTGTAGATTCTCCATATTTTTATTTTTTTTCTTTGTAGTAGTTTAAAAAAGCCTTAGTATTTTTGTACTGTATTTCAAAGTGTTTTTGCAGTAAAGCTTCTAATACAGTGCCATTTCTTACTCGATACTGGATAATTCAAGGTATGCTTTATAAATGGCTAAATGATTCTTTATCATTTAATTAAAATAAAAGAGGTAACTTCAAAAGTAAAAGGTGATCCAAAATTCTGACAATATACAACCAAAGTCATTGTCATTATATTAATTTCATTAATTTAAATATTATTTTTTACACAATTCTAAAACATATGTCCCACTTACGGTAAAAATCTACAAATATTTTCTTTCTCAAGGAAACCTTACCTAGCAAGTTCAATCCACCTGGTCACATCAGGTGAAAGTTCTGTCTTTCCACGCATTCTTTTGGAGGGAGGCTGCTGCTCCACAGGTGAAAGGTGAACCAAAGCTTGTTCAAGAAGAAGGATGCCCACCGGTTGCTGTAAACTTGCTAAACAGCTAGTACTTACATTGTAATAATTGAGGTCTACCAATTCTTTGTGCTGATAAGTCATCTCCTATTATAACAAATGAACAATTAATGAAATTGATTGCATTCTGACAATGGAGTAATACTGAGTTACAGCCACCAATATTAAATATAAGAACATATTCAATCCTTTACTGAAGTTTTTAGAAAGAGATTTAAAGTACTTTATTTGAGAGGAGGGAGGGGGGGAGGGAGGGAGAGAGCGAGAGATTTTATATAAGTAAGAAATAAATTCACAAATAAATATTGAATGCCATACCAGAATGCAAGATATGAATGGTGGGAAATACAACACAGTTGTAGTTAAAAAATGATTGAAGTCATGCAACAATTGCTGGATGATATTATTTTTTTCAGCCGGAGACTTGGATTTTTTCATTTGTTCCAGAATTCCACTAAACAAGCTGCTGAAGAGTTGTTTAGCCAGTGTGGGATCTTTCTGAAAATTGCAGACATATAAACGATATGATTGCTTACCACATTCTGCAAAAGTATTATAACAGTATAAACAATATGCTCACTAGAGTAGGAAATGTCCTGTTTCAAATTGGATGAATTTCCATATTATAACCTAATTTACACATTTTAAAATTTTGTAGGAAATATTACATACTATTAGGTTTTATGGAATCATGATAAACAATTTGTGAGTTCTTGTAAAAAGGCTTCTTTTAAAAGTTGACAAAAACTAAAACAAATTGCAATGAAACTTGTGAAACACGGTTGAATAAGAAAGCACTAAGAGTTACACAAAACATATTGTTTCTGCACTCTGAACTAGAGATTACAATTGCCTGTGAACTCTATGAAATGCCTGAAAGTAAAAGAATCAAATGAATTAAGTGGTCTAAATAAATATATATTTTAATATGCCAATCTCTGGGTGAAAATATGATTCCCAAGGACTTGTTTTTACAGAGCAAACAAAAGCATCGCTTTCTGTATAGTATATTTCCACTATACATGAAAGATCTAAGGTTTAATCATGTTCGGAATCCATGAATACAATGATGATGATGATGATTTAATACAGTTAGGATTTCAGATTTTTCCATAGAGAAATGGAAAGCCGTCCATAAACAATTTTGTAGCTATTCTTGTCTTTGTGGCCATTGTATTCTTAGGGGGAAAGGGGACATGTAAAACAGACATTGTTTTTGCCAAGATCAGATAAACAAGTGTTTGGGGTAAGCTGCTCGCTTGACAAAACTGTCACAGAGCAGGAATTCTGAAGGCCTGGTTTCTTGGACAAGACTGGAACTGTAAAGGATCCCTCCCCCCATGCTTAAACAAGCATGAAATTATTTGAACAGTCCAGCCTCTGAAGCATGTAAGAGGAAGAACACGCTTCTGGTTACATTAAGCAACATTTAAGCACTTTAAAAGACCTCATATGTTATACCATATTTTAAATCTGAAATGCCTCATTTTCAGGTTTGCCTCAGGGTCATTTGATATACAGTGAGAAAACAACCATTTATTTTTCTAGAATGCAATAAGCTAAAGAAAACCTGCAATCAAATTCTGCATATCAAATGATATACTAAAACTAAACAATTACAAAAATAATTTAAAGAAAAGAAATACTGTCTAATATGTAAATTGGACTAACTCAATGCAATAATTCAAAAACACAGAGTCTTCAACAAAAATATCCAATATCCAAACTTTTAGTATACTGCTCTTAAATTGCATTTACTAAAATTGTTTAGCTCAAAAGATATTAAGAATTCTTGGTAAAATAGCCTACCTGTGCCACAACCTGCAGGGGAGTAATTAGACTGCTGTATTCAATCTGGATGTCAGGGAGATCTCCTTGTCTGTATTTTCTGTACAAAGTGATCTGAGCATCGTGCTTTATCTTCAGCTGGGATTTTATTTCCTGCAACAATTTATCATTTTGTCACAAGTCATAAAAAAAATTGCACCTCAGATAAGACCAGCCCTTCAAATTCCTAATTGTCTCTCTAATCTCCTCTCTTACTAAAGACAGGCTTCAGGAAAGTGGAGGCTAGAGCAAAGGTGACCATACTCAACTACTGGCTCTATATTTTTTCCCCTTGGCTTCGCCTCATTAACTATAAGTGATGATTTTCAAGCAGCAGCAGTCAAAATTCAAGAGGTGACGACTAAATTTAATGAGCCCCTAGCTTGCCATTTTAGAGTGCTGGGCAACTTGATAGAGTCTTCTGCATGCTGACCTTTTCTTCTTTCCAACACCCATCTAATGCTCCTATGCCTTCTTTTAGATGCCAGATTTTTATATATACTTTGTTTTTATTTCATGTTTTTTAGCTTTTCATATTTTTTAAGATTATTTTTATTCTATGCTTTTTTTAATGACTGTACCCCCCCCACCTAATGCTGGTCTATAACAATAATAAAGATCTGATTTGATTTGCCCCTCACAGAATAACTTAAATCATTCACACTTGCATTAGTTTGGTTTTATTACTAAATACGTTTTTCCCTCTCAATGAAAATGTTCATTTCCAGATCAGAAAGAGGAATCTAAAATCACATGAATCTCTACAGTCATCTTCTAACTTTATAAAGGGAAGAGTTATTGCACACCCTTTAAACCAAGACAGGTACTTGCTTATTCAACTAACATTATCCAGGCAAAATACAAAAATGATAGATTGGCTCTCTATTCACACATGCATTTTACGCTTTGTGTTTTTTTCAGTTATAATTTGGATATTTTGGCTCAAAGTTTAACTTTGGTTCAAGAAAGGATAGCTAATTTTAAATACTTATGGAACTGCTAGGTTCACATTATATGGCTTCTCCACTGACCTGGACTGGATTCCTTTGTGAATGAGATTGAAGAGAATTTCACTTTCTTGAAATTGTTCACTCCTGTGTTGTTGTCAGTGAACCCATAAGGAATGCATCAGACCTGCTTGCTTTTCATGAAATACTCTAGTTCAGTGACTTTCAAACTTGACAACTTTAAGATGTGTGGACTTCAACTCTCAGAATTCCCCAGCCAGCATGTTGGCTAGGGAGTTCTGGGAATTGAAGTCCACATATCTTAAACCATGCTTAAGCACAATTATATTATAATTAAAACTTATAGTAATCTTCTATAATCTACTATTAGCCCAACAATGGAAACTCCATGTACCAGTCAGGCATATTTGGAAAATTATACATAGAAAACTAACCTTTTCTTGCTTCTGTTCAGCAACACCCTTTCTTGCATAGATCAAACTGAGCTTTTCTTGATCTTTTAAGAAGCGTCTCCGTAGTCTCAGAATTTCTGTGCGTTCATCTGTATCTAATGCATGTAGAAATAAATTCCTTTAAATGTACACAGTAAAACTATTTAAGAAATTATATATTCAATCTTGTTAGCCAAATCCTGGAATTGAGAATTTCTCAAATTATATGATTTAAAAATGTATAACAGGACAGGGACAGAATGGAATACCTTTAAAAACTATCCTACTGTCATGCTTTAAGTCAGTTTTTTTGTGATTCCTTTGAACAAAGAACATAATTTGACAAATACTGAATTGTTTCAATTACCATTCCCTGCCACTGTTACAATCCCATGCAATAGTTCCTATTGTCATTTATGCACCGATTTCAGTTGTGTCCTTGAAGGTGTGCATATAAGCAAGTAGTGCTTCTGATTAGAAACTACTTAGTAACAGCATGTAGATTTCACAAATATTCCTGTACACAAGCATACTCCTCTCCCCCATTTCTAATGAAGCTGCTAAGTGAGAGAAGAGAGGTAGGAGAATGACAGAATGGCTGAAAATATTTGTTCTGCAAACTTTAACAAGATAGCTTGCAAAAGGATTTTTAAAGTGGAGACACTTGTTTCCACATTTAGTTAACACTTTATTATTTCTCAGCAATTATTTTACATAATTTTAGAAACTCGTTCAGATTTCCAAAGAAGAAATCTGTTTTAAGTTATATATTTATATGTATATATTTAATATTGAACAGAGAAAGTAAAAGCAGGATGACATTTGCCCCATTTGTTGTATCTCTAAAAGAAATTTGGCTATTGGATTAAACAATTGTAGACACCAACAAAGCTGCCAGTAACTTCATGGCATAAATAATTGGATTCAGGGCATACATCTTTATGAAGACAAGTCTACTAAAATCTCTTCAAACCATTTAAGCATGTATTATACTGAATGTGGTTTCACTAGTATCCATCATGTCAGTATGCACTCAATGTGTTTTTTTGTGTATTCTGCAAAATAGAATTTCAAGTGCTGGTGTTTGGGAAAGGGGCATGCAAAATTATGACATGTATTGTTGATTTACAAAGAACAGATAAGAGACACAGTAATGTTAATTTAAAAAATCCTCAATATTAGAATTCTAATATTTAGTATTTGTGGTGGTGTTGAGGCCTACAAGATGTTTACTCCCAGTATAAACTTAAAACAACTTATGCTACTGCTATCCAAATAAACCCTGGTTTTGTCATATGGATGACCTGATTTGAGAACCACATTGAAAGAGCAAAATCAACTAGATTAACAGTAACAAATACCTTTAGTTTTACTGTCTACTTCATCTCCTGGCAAACCCAATCGTTTTTCCCCAAAATTAGGACTTAATGGTTTGAATGCAGTTTTGTAAGATCTGTCTGTACGCTTGTTAATGAGCAACATGGATGAAGAAACTGATTCAGAAGTGGAAGGAACTGTATAGTAGTCTGCAAAGGTGTCAACACTATTTCCTATTAGCCAGTTGAAAGAGCTTCTTCCACCTGTAAAAAGAGCATAAGAACACAGTTCAAGTTATATAAAAGCAAATTGCCTCTCTGTAGCAAATACGGTTCCTTTACTTTCTCCTATTACATACTAAAGAATGACAACAGAGTATCAGTTTTTGATAGAAAAACTGAAATGCAAGCATACTATATGAAATGCAAAGATGTATATGAAAGAAAGGTAACAAATGATATCCAGAAATAAATTAAAAATATAATTCTGCACTGAATGATTCTTTAATGCAGCAAAAACATAATCATATGTCCTTTAAGTTTGACAATTTCATTATGACATGCTAGTACTTTACAATAAAGGTGTAAGATACTTACTGATATTCTGGGTGGGCGTAAATTCAAATTGTTGCTGAGTAGCTCTTAGCTGGCCACCCAAATATCCTTCCTGTGAGGAATATTTAACGGCACTTTGAGAAGCCTGAGTCTCCATAAAAATAGGGGTAAGAATAGTGCTTCGATACCGCCAATTGGAATCAATTACAAAATCCTGGAGAACAGATATGAAATATTTGAAGCCATCTTGACATCATCGCTCTGATGTCAGTACAAACATTATAATCCTATGCAAATATATTTGCAGAATCCTATTAAAATCAGAGATTACTAAATCTTCACATGCTTAAGGTGTATTTCCCCCCAATTATATATTGTATATTTTCTATTTATTTTTAAACATCAAAGATCAGTAACTCGGAAAAAATAGATAACAAATTTGTAGTTTTAATCAAATCATGCATCTATTAGCTTGAAAAAACTACCCCATTTGACTTTTACTTAAAAGAGATTCATTCCTAAAAATGATTTTAAGATTTTCAGTTTTTAAAAAGGATAGCATGTATTTTTATTTATTTATTTCCCACCTATTATTTTAATAAGTAACTCAAGGCAATTACGGTAGCTAATTTTCTCTCCTTCTCCTATTTTTCTCAAAACAACAACCCTGAAAGATGAATTGGGCTGTGAGAGAGTAACTGGCCCAAAGACACCCAGTTGGCTTTCATGTCTAACTAAGGTAGCATTAGAACTCACAGCCTTGTAGTTTCTAGCTTGATGCCTGATGTTGTTAGTTATAAATTAAAAGTATTTTATAAACATTATAGTTAAAAACTATAAAGTATAGTATGTAAAACTATATATACCATACAGTATATAGTATATAAAATCTATATTATAGTCAAATAGTTAAAGTATTTTTTTTGCCCATTTATTCTCAAATTATTGGCTCAGATATTTCATAAAAATAGAAAATATTATCCCTTTTCCCCCCCATAAAAAATAATCACAACAAATTGTAGGCAGCACCATATTAATACATGCAACCTTTGTAAATATTTCATAAGGAAATTAAGGAAGATTCATTTTTTAGAGATGCATAACATGTATATGGAATAATGAGTAGCATGCAGTAATTCACCATATTCCTCTCTTCCATTTTTCTTTATTATGAAGTTTATATAGCAGTAAATGATAATTTTAATTTCAATAAAATGTATCAAGGTAAAAACAGAAATGCAGTTTGCATGTTTTTTAATGTAACTATCAAAATTAATATCTTTGCCTTTATTAAAACAAAGGATTAACATAAAAATTAAATATTATGAAATAAATATTTTAAAAAATGATCTACTTCTGATCTAAAGGATTTTAGTTTTTAAGAAGTACTCCAGTAATCTCTTATACATTGCAAAATAATATACATTCACCTGAAATTTACATTCTGAAAGCGGATATTCAAACATTTTTCTAGAATAATCTGGGCTTTTGCTCGTCATTTCAAGGAGAAAATTTGTAGCTAAACTCAAATAGTGAGTTTCAATTTTGTCAGAGTACAAACCCCTTAGTAAAGACAACATGCGATCAAGTGTATTTGTTGGTAACCTAGTTTCATCACTCCAAAAATTTCTAACAATTAATCTGTAAAAGAAAATAAATATGCAAATGTCAACTTCAAATAATCCGTAACTGTGTAAATATATGAACAAAGTGCATGACATATCCGTATGTCCTTATGAATAGTAGGTGAGAATTTCTATATCATTCCCAAATTAAACACATAAAGTTTTGCTTAAATCTAATCTTCATAAAAAAGGATCATAATTTATTAAGACATTTAGACTGCAGTTCTATATCATATTGAAAAAACAAGTTTCAATTAAATTTAAAATTAAAATTAATTACAGTTTATTCTGTAAATGTATGTGTATACATGCACAATTTTGCAACAGATACAATTCAATTTTTAAAAAAAGAATTCTGATTTCAGAATAAAATTTGCATTACTTACTGTAATCCAGAATTTTCATCAATCAGTCCTTGAAGTAAAAATTCTTTTGCCAGTTTCAGCACTTGTGAAGACTCCTCATCTGCTTGACTTTCTGAATCACTGATAAAAGAAAATTCACGCTCTACTGAACCTCAGTCACTCACACAAGGATTTTGATGATAGTTTTCATCAGATAAAATATATTACGTGACACCACTTAGAATAATAATAAAAAATAATTAAGAAACAGAAAAAAGCACTTTATGGCTTTACTTTACATTTAGATATGGTTGTTAAATAATAGGCTTCAGATATCTCTGTTGGTCTAGGATTCAAAAGAGGTGCTTATAAACTAAAGCTAAACAAAGAAAAAGAAATACATTTTTTACAGTTGCATGTACTTTGCCTAATCACAAAAGAATATTTGAAGCTGCTCCACGTTAAAATAAATTCTGAAGATGAACATGAAATTATTTCTTGTGCCTCTTCATCTTGTTCCTAATCTGGTTTTAAATCTTTAGTCTGTTTAATGTCGCTGTCTCACATTCCTTCACTCCGCAACATAATCTCTAACAAACAGAGATGATGTATTTTGAGGTTCTCAACAGGTTTTTTTAGCTGTACTCCATATTCTTTCCTTCTTCCCCTTTGGTTATCTCCTCCAGCTATTGCTCTTGTCTATTTTTTGTAATTAAATACCTTGCCTATTTCTACCAGTATTTGTTGAGTGACCTTTCTGTTCAATTCAATTCTCAGAGTCCCTACCTCTGCTGATATTCCTACTATTTCTCTGGTTTTGTAGATTTTATGAGTTTTTCTACTTTAGTTATTCCTCCTTCCTCCATGGAAGTACTGGAAAACCCAAGATCACACAGAAATTCATCTAATGGCAGTTTTGCTATAATGAGCTTATGCATGAATTCATTTCACATTCTTTGTTCCTAAAAAGTAGGCTTTGCACGTGCCTATTACCCAAGTGTGTATGTGATGATGGTTTGCACATCCTCATATGTTAAATGTCAAAGCCTGAATGTACATGATATACACCCATTATTCTGAAGTTTCTGTAAAGTGGAAAAAGAGAAATTAAAGAGGCAACTCTCTAATGGACAGTACGTCTGAAATATCTAACTGCATTTTCCAGCTTTTTCCTCCCTTTAGCTGCAAATATGCATTGTGGCAAAAGTGAACAATCTGCAGAACGAGTATGACCCAGGCCTTCCCAATGCAATTTCCAACACTTCCTTTTCTTTGCTGATTTGAGCAAAAAGAAATTCAGCCATGTAGAAATGAGGTATTGAGGCATTTTGCTCTGTGGCTTTCCAAACTTAAAACAGATAGATGAAAATGGGAGGAGGAAGGAGACCATTTTCTTTGGTAGGTGGAAATAAAAATAAAAGAGCCTGATCAACTCTAGTTTTTCTTTTTCTGGAAAAAAAAGAATTCTAATCAAGGCCTATTTTACAGCCTAGGTCAGTGGTTCTCAACCTGTGGGTCGGGACCCCATTTGGGATCGATCAACCATTTCATGGGGGTCGCCAAGCAAGGCTGTCCGCCATTTTTTTTGTCAGCCATTTTTTTTGTCCGCCATTTTTTTCCCCTTTTCCAGCGGGTGCCTTACCTCCCTTGGGGTGGGCCAGCTGGTGGTCGGCCTGCTCCGTCTCTGCCGCTTGCCAGCTACGCCTCGGCCGGCGCAGGGGGCAGAACCACGCATGCGCGGCGCTCCCGGGCAGGGAAAGTCCTTGACTTACGACCGGTTGGGTAGTCCTCGACTTACGACCGGTTTAGTCCTCGACTTACGACCGGTTGGGGTCGCGGCATTAAAAAGGTTGAGAACCACTGGCCTAGGTATTTGTTAGGATAGCACATAAAAATTAAGTTAAATTGCAGACCACAGAGAGATTTAGAATCCTGGAAAAGACAAAATAGCTTCAGAATATTTATTTATAATAATATCCATGCTTGAGTCTTTACCTGTAGTTATCATAGATCCACATGAGCACATCATACATTCGGCCCCGACATAATGGTGAAGGATGAGAAATGAATCCTGTTATTGTAGGAAGTAGCTCTAATACTTCAGCAGGTTTCAGCTTAGGTAACATCTTGTACACGATATTTAAGCATATTGTTTGCCTTTCATCGTCTCTAAGGGAAGAATGAATAAAACACCTTTATTGCATTCATTACTAAGCATGGGGAATTATATCAAATGGCCTATTGAAACTGACAGGATGTAATTCCAGCATCTGTTATCAGAGAAAATGACCAAAAAACCCCCCAAACACCTTGATGTACTCCCACTTTCTTAAGTGGAATTTGTTCAAAGATATTTTAATATGGATTATTCTACCAAGAAATAATTACAAATTATGCTATCCCTCACCTGTGACACATGACTTGTGTGAATTCCTTACTCTTCAACTGTAAGTACATATCAGCCGTTTCTTGCGTACGGCACATGACTACTTCCAAGCAATGAGTCTTCATTACTCCATGAAGTTTTGGTATCAGAAAGAAGACAAAATTCATAAATCTTCCCATGACCGAAAACAAAAAGTATAAAAAGTTATACCAAGCTATTAAATTCATAATACCAACAGTATAATACCACTTATAATTCTAATATACCTATCAGCAAGACGAGGGAAGTTCTTTGTGATTTTATTCAGGCATACAATAAATTTGTCATCTCTGGTATTCTGATGCAGCTTTAATTGTTTTATGACCATGTCATAAATTGGACCTTCAAATATCTGAAAAATTGAACATATATGAATGTTAAAAACATAACATATTGGCCAAATATTTTAGCAATAATTAAAACTACTGCTGTTAATTGATACTTTTATCATAATGCTGTAAACTATTTTTGATACAGCTTCTTAAGAGTTAAATAGTTGCCCTGTACTGGAGAATAAGTCCTGGGCTAGAAAGATCTTTCAGAAGATCCAGTGAAGTAATTCTAGTCTTTTGTAATACTACTGTTCTACGGTACCTATCAATGCTATTTTCAATACTTGCAACAATTTGTTTAGTGACAGTTTGAAGATACAACAGCATTGAAAAAAGTGACTTATGACCATTTTTTACACTTACAACTGTTGCAGCATCCCCATGGTCACATGATCAAAATTCAGACACTTGGCAATTGACTCATATTTATGACAGTTACAGTATCCCGGGGTTGTGCAATCACCTTTTGTGACCTTCTGATAAGCAAATTCTACAGGGAAGCCAGATCCACTTAACAACCATGTTATTAACTTAACAACTGCAGTGACTCATTTAAAAACTATGGCAAGAAAATTCATAAAATGGGGCAAAACTCACTTAATAACTGTCTCGCTTAGCAACAGAAATTTTGAGCTCAGTTTTGGTCATAAGTCGAGGACTACCTGTAGACTAGATAAAGCCAAAGTATTTCAGGTACTAGGTTAAAATTAAATTGATTTTAGAAGTTAACTCTTTGGTTCTAGCAGCATAACACATAAAAAGCATGTTCTCCTCACATTTTCTTTCTCAGCAATGTACTGAAGAATGAGTCCCAGTACTTCAGCAGCAGCAGCATATACTTCCTTGTATCTTATCAGAGCCATGTTATTAGACAAAACTTGGAAATATCTAACATAAATAAGAAATATCATTTAGTTCTCACAAATGCATATTTATTCCTCTGACGTATATTAAAATATATGATTTTCTCGTTCATTTTACATTTAGTTGCAACAGGATGATTTACCAAATGTCTAGTGCACACATGTAATTTGAATGTAAACTCCTTTCACTGTATTTTGAAATGTTCAGTTAAAGTCTTAAGAGCTCCAGAGCTATATCTGTCTTTTACATTTCCCAATTCTATTATACATTTTCTAAATTTAAGATGGTTAATTTGCATTCACTGAAAATTGTCCCAACATATCTACCTCTTTCCCATGTTTGAAACATGTCCAAGCATAATATTTCTGAAACACATCTATATATATGAAATATAACAAAGATCAATCAAATTATTTAGGAAAATGACTGCAATTAGCTGGTAAAGTGTATGTCAATTTCATCATTTGTTTTCCAATCTTTGCACTTGGGGATACCTATTTTCATAACTTTCTTCTTGGCTAAAAGTTTTATGCTCAGTATACCTCCATAGGAATATCAGAAAGTTGAAATTCTTACCTTGTATTATCTATTTCACACTTTGGATCATATGGAGGTAAATTATTAGCAAGAACAATTCCTAATAATTGAATTCCTACTGAATTGTCTTTTGTATTAGGATCTCCACCAGAAAATTGTTGAAATATTATCCTGCAGTAAGCAAAAACATAGATGAAGATACTAAAAGTAATAAGTAACTATTCGTACCAATCAAAACTATCAGGTTTGTATTTTGTATTGAGAAAGAATAGACAGCAGATTGATCACTTAATAAGTGGAATCACTCATCACACTAAGTCAAAGGTCCCCAACCTTTTGGGCACCAGGGACCGGTTCCATGGAGAAAGGTTTTTCCAATGGCTGGGATTCCTTATCGAGCTTAGGCAATACAAGCAAATGATGCAAAAACATAATCATTATTAAAATCTTTTCTGATTTAGTATAATGGAGGCATCTAATAAAAGAGCCAGTTTCCCATAAAGTTGAAACCTTGGTCTAGGCTTTGGAGACCCAGTATTAAATCTACCTTAAGCCATGGAAGCTGACTGGATGATTTTGGGCCAGTCGTGCTCTCTCAATTCAATTTAGCACACCGAATTGTTCTTGTGAGAAAAAAACATTGAAAAAAAACATTGCCTATGCTACTTTGAATTTCTGAAGGTAAGGCACGATGCACCTATTACAAAGTAAGAAATATAAACCAATAACAATGCTTTAAATTTCACTAGTACTAAGCAAAGGCAAGGTTTGTGCAAAAAAAAAAACCAAAACCTGAACTGTTCAATGCCCTTTTAACCTTCCTTCATTTCATCCCAGCTCACAACATAGATTTATCTCGGTGTGCGCTGATCTCTGCATGGGACTCACTTGAAGAAAGTTATCGTAGAGGGTAGAACTTAGGTCAATGTATTATGAGATGTCATAACAAAGCCATCTAGTTCTGGCAGAACTAGAAAAGTTTGATTCCCAGTAAAATAATAATTTGTAAGCATACAAATGGTGTATAAAAATGCTTAATTTAGAAAGTGATAAATCGCTTTGATAGTTTGGGCAGATATTCTCCTTAGGCAATTGAAAGAACCTGAAGAAGATCAGACAAATTACAAAATAAAAGCTTTAGGAAAGAAGTGGCTTTAGGAATAACAAAGTGAAAACTTTGTTCTAGGGCTGCCTTTTAATTTATTAAAAAATTAACAAATTAATCAATCTAAGTCACTCATCTCAAGAACTTTGCATTTTTTAAATATCAGAACATAATCCCCTGTGTAGAAACCTTTTTCTATCAAAATCTCTTTCCCCATTCCTCATTTACTCTTCTAATGGCACAGACAACATGACTTTTATTGTTTCTAGAGGAAATCATAATCCATGTTTAATTTGTACATATTGTCACAAATCACCAAATAAATAACAGATTAGTCCTACTTTACTTAAAAAGCATATATGACAATAGGCTTTGGTATAAACCAGCAGACCAACAATTGCTGAACTTCAATTACAGCATCTCTTAGTACGGCCAATGCCTACTGGGGTTGCTGTTGTACTTCAGTAATAGGCAGAAAGTTATCCTTTCCCATCTTTGCTGTAGCTCTTGGAGAATTGTATATACAACCACATTTTATTGTCATTATTTACCTGTAAGGTATGCTCAGACAGTCCTTCCAGCACTCTATTACTGTCTTGATTATTTCCAGGTTATGTCTAAATACTGCTCTTTTCTGATGAAACACATTTTTCATTAGGAACTCCAACAACCTGTTTGCTAAGATTTCATCCTTTATGTTTCCCTAATATGAAAGAATTAGAAAAAGCATATTGCAAATATTCCTCTTTGCTCATAAAATGACAAAACATATGGTACCTTAATTTAAACATCATATATTCAGGCTTGCCAAATTCTCCCTGGTTAGCAATAGTAACCAGGTCATATATTTATTTTAGGCCCAAAAGACCCATTAGGGCTTATTTTGGGGGAGTGTCTTATTTTTTCTACATGCGGTACAAGCCTTCCACGATGGCCAACCTGACCCTGGGCAAGCTGGATTGCTTACAGGGAGAGGCTGCATGTTGCAGGAGGACGACTTCAAAGGGCGTGCGGGGATCCCTGCAGCTCCTGGAGACTCCAAGCACTGCTTTTTGTGCCACTCGGTTTCCCACCCCACCCAGCCAGGCTGATCTGGTGAGTGGGATTGCCTGCCGTCTTCCCTACTGCTGCATTGGCAGCTGACACTGCCCTCCTGAGAGGCGGCGTGGTGATTGAATGGCGGCCATGCTGCGAATGGGGATATACCCCTAAAGCACCGCCGAAAACAGCGAGGCAAACACGCACAGACGCGGTACCAAAAACAGCATCGCAAAAAGCATTGCTTGGAGCCTTCAGGAGCTACAGGGATCCACGCATGCCCTTTTCGCACCGCTGTTTTTGGAACCGCATCTGTTTGCCTCATTGTTTTTTGGGGGGATGATCTATCCCCATTCGCAGTGTGGCCGCCGTCCAATTGCCGTCCCGCCTCTTAGGAAGGCATCATCAGCTGCCAATGCAGTGCCAGGGAAGACGGAAGGCAATCCTGTCCACCAGATCAGCCTGCGGGGATGGGGTGGGAAACCGAGCGGCACGAAAAGCAGCGCTCGAAGCCTCTAGGAGCTGCAGGGATCTGCAATGCACAGCCTCTCCCTGTAGGCAATCCGGCTCGCCCAGGGTCAGGTTGGCCGTTGTGGGAGGCTCGTCCCACATGTGCAGCGGTGCTGGAGGATGGGGACGGGTCATGCCTCCTGCGACGGCCAACCTGACCCCAGGCGAGCCGAACTGCTTCAGCTGCAAGGAGCCTGGCCTACTTTTTTCATTGCCCAGGCTTCCTGAAGCTGATGGGAACTGCGGCCCACTGCACTGAACAGTTTAGCCAAGCTGCAAAATTGAACTTGCAGTGGCGGCACCGGCAGCAGATAAGGTGGGAGGAGGCACGCGATCCAGTCTGCCAAAAAACTTACGGTGGGACGGAGTGGGCGGGGTCTTAAGTAGGGCTTACTTTTTAGGGTAGGGCTTATATTAACCCAAACCCCTCCAAAATAAGCTAGGTCTTATTTTATGGCTAGGTCTTATTTTCGTGGAAAGAGAAAAGTCTTTTTTTTCAGCATTATAAAATTATCTTAGCCACTGTTTATCAAGAAGACTTTGGCATAGTGTTAAAATATATGTACTAAAAAGAAGAGAGGGGAGGGGAAGGAAGGGCAGGGCAGGGCATAGGTATATATGGCTGTCTTATTATAATCAAATACATTTCTTACTTTAGGAGTTGCCACATTAGTCCATGAAAGCAGAGTGACCACTATCTCCACCACCATGTAATGTATTCCTTCTCCTCCATTATCTCCAGAAACAACCAGCTGCAGTAAAGGACCCAGCCACCACTTTGCATAAGGCTGGAAAACCTGGAGAAGAAAAATCCAAGATTGCCATTGTAAAACCTATTGCATGTTAACTTTGTTATTTACTTCTAACCAAACTAAATTATTATTTAAAAGGTTACCCATGCAAATACTCAACAATGCAAACACATTTCATGCCTTACACAACAGTAGCTTTTTGTCTAGAAGAGATATTATTTTGCCAAGGAATTACCATCCCTTACTCCAGACTAGTTCCAGAGACTTGATAAAACTTGTGAATCAGAAGTAGCTTTTACTTTGTTGGAAGGGCTTATTTTTGAGCAATAGCACAGAGACTGAATGATATTAAGGTTATTTTGCATCCTTGTTTTGTTTACAGTCAAAATGCATATATGGTAATAACACTATTATTGACCATAGTTTGCTCATAAGAATCATTCATGAATCCACCTCATATAGGAGATACTAACTGCATTAATTGCTTAAGAAATCAGGAATCAATACTTGCTTAGAAAATTAGTATATTTCAACAAGCTGCCAAAAAACAAACAAGATCAAAATACAGACTTTATTTGATATTGTTATGCCTATATTTACTTTGAACAAGAAGCTTTTGTCACTTTTGGTAATACTTGAAAATCTTATTCATAAAAAGAATGTTCAACTGTCTCTTTTTAATAACATTCCAGAACAACTATTACTTATAGTCCTCATATATTGACTGCCTTGTTTAATGACTGTTCAGTTATGACAGTTGAAAAAAAACAGCTTTATGACCAATCCTCACATCTCATGGATGTCACGGCCATCACAGCATCCCACAGTCACAGGATCACCATTTGGGCGCTTTGCAATTGACCCATATTTACAGCTGTTGTAGCAGTCCATAGTCATGTGGTTGCATTTGCAAGCTTCACAACTAGCTTCTACCAAGTAGAATTATTGGAGAATGTAAAAGTGAAATTGCAAGTTGAGGTCATGTGATATCTTGCTGAATGACCAGTGACCCCCTTGATGCTGGAAGTGGAAATGATATTGTAAGTCTGGTACGGTCATGTGATGCCTTGGTGCATAACGATGGACTTGCTGGTCATAATTGTGGTTGTTAAGCAAAGACTACCTGTAAAGTTCGGAGATTATTCTAATCTCATTATTATGTTCTCTAATAACCCAAAGAAATGCAAGTATACCAGTTATATATTACAACACTTTTCTCTATCATAAAAAGAACTTACTTCCTCTGTATTCACAATGAGTTTTGCTACAAAGAGACGAATATTTAGAGGTACAGTAGAATTTCCCAGTTTACTGTGCAAAAACTTCATCCATGGAGGAAGTTCTGGTGAATTTGTATCCTGAATACCAAAAAAATACAGATTTATAAATATGAAAGCATACTTATGATAAATTAGTTTAACTGAAAGTGATATTTGCCAACTCCACAAAGCTATAATGGGATACTTACTTTTTCTACTACCGGTGTGATATTATTTCTGTGCATATGTTGGACTAGGGTTGTCATAGAAGCCATGCATTCATGCTGATTGAGCTCATCCATTTCTAATTCCATCACATCATCTGGAACCACAGTACCTGTCATTTCCTTTTAGAATAATAATTAATTTCAATTTTGTCCTTATCCCTTCTTTTTGTTCAGATTTTTGCTATAACAACAGTACCCATAAAGAATGCATATATTATATCCTATTATTTCAAGATCGTTTATCAGGCAAAGCTTGTATTTCTCAAAGTTATTTATATAATATCCTTGTAGCTCTTTTTTTTTTTTTAGAAAATAATATGTTGGCAAGAGACTTGATTTAAGTGAAGTATGAGCTGGGTATCTGATTAATATTCCATGTGCTAATCTCTCACTTCAATCAGGTCTCTTCTAAAAATACCAAAACCCCAAAATGAATACAAATGAACAATGAGAACAATGCAACAAAACTTTGGGAAATATCAATTTATTGCAATAATGTAATTAAAAGATTCTCCACATTTCCCTGGACTCTTATCTGGAGCTCTCCAAGAAACCATGATTTAACAAAACAAAACTTGCCTGGCTATTTATTACACACCTAATGTATTATTTCCATTTAAGTTTTGAGGAAAATTCCAATTAGTATATCCATTGCAATCTCTGCACATTCCATGGGCTCCATCATTTGATGTGAATTTTTTTTTAAACCTAGCTAGCCTCATGAAATTTGATCAATATATTGAAAAAACCTTAAAGGAAGTATTGTAATTGGAGTGTTGAAAACATTTTTGTACAATGTGCAGTAAAACAATAAAGAATAATAAATGACAAATTGTCAAATTTGCCTGAAGTGGAAAATTTTGATCCAGCCTACACCTCTTACCGTCTTTCTCCTCACAAGGTACTCAAGGCAATTATTATTATAATTAAGCTTAATTAGATAACCTAATGTTAACCTATTCATGCCTATCTATTCTGCTGCTGAGGTACTAAAGTTGCAACATTCCCCTTTTTCACAGTTGGAATTTGTCATTTAGATTTAAGCAATCACAGAATTATTTGTAATGCATGGTAACGTGCCTATTTATGGATTTATTTCTTGCTCAAAAGAAGATGGTATTTTATAGGAAAACTATGTTGCTATTATTACTGCAGTTATTACATCCTCATTAGTATTCCAATAAGGTATGGTTTTTAAGTCTTTAGAAAATTTCTACAAACAATTAAAGGAGTTGTTTGGGCTAAAAAACAGTATAGTTAAGGCACACATTTACACATAAATTAAATCACCTTTTTCCTGAAGTGAGAACCGGAAGTGGTAGGATCTTCAGAGTTGTATGAAAAACTCTGAATTCCAGTTGAGAAATCAAATTGGCTCATTTCTTCACTTAAACTGCTATGTACCATATATGATGCAGACGCTAAATAGTGTGGTTCAGCTAGAAAGAAAATAGTCTGGCTTAAATAAGTAAGAAGCTTCCCAATAAAAATCACAAGATCAGTTAAACAAACTTCTTTCTATGTTTTCAATAAATAATGCTCAATAAATTCTCTTGCTTCTTTCAAATCTCTTTTCTGAATTTTCTGATTTCATCATTAAACTGCATTTATCCCTTAATAAAAAAATTAGTTAACGTTAATATTGAAAATAATAAGAGATATGATCCAGATTGTTATTCCTAGAGTTTTTATTTATTTATTTATTAATTTATTAATTCAATTTATATCCCGCCCTTCTCCTTACCGGACTCAGGGCGGCTGACAGCCTTATAAAACCAATACTACAATAAATACCTAATTTAAAACCGAATTAAAAAGAAATATTTGTTATGGCCTATATAATTAAAATTTCTCTTAAAAACCCCACTAAAATTCCCTAGGCCAATCCCGCTTGTTGGAAGAGCC